GTTTTATCAACGCCAAAAAGCGATTTAATCAAATACGATATTATTTGCAAATGATTTTCATATCATGCCAAGAAGGTTCTCAGTTAGTTTATTTTAGACGAGAAATCAGAAGAGTAAAACAAATTTTTCTTTAAGGAACCGCAACTTGTCCTCATATTTCAATAATAAAATATCTATACTTCACATTCACAGAACTAAAAAAATTTCGATACAAACATATAAATGACACATTAGTTTGAAATGGAATTACAAGATTTGAACTTTTTCCAACATCTCATTTTTTATTTCAGAACAATTATTCAAAATATATATTGAAGTAACTCTTTTTGTGAACTATTAATTTTAAAAGATGCAGTATTTTTAATCAATGCACACAGCTAAAACAAAAATTATATCATATTTCTCTGTTTCTACAGTCATTGTAAGAGTATTTATTCTATGCTAAAAGAAATTATTTGTAAATTAGGTGATGCTGAATTCTTTAAAAGTTATTCATGGGTCGTGCAAATTACATTTACTTTTGCAGAAGAAATTTTGTTTTGCAAATTTTTCACATACAGAAAGGTTTGCGTTGAAGGCTTTCCAGTATTTTCTAGTTTCGGCACGAAAATCGTCCTCAGGTCGGCAGATGGTACGGCTGGATTTGATGTTTTTTATTTATGACCCTCCCATTGTAACATCTTTCTCTAATGCTCGCTGTTTCCCCACTACCAATTAAGCGCAACAGGAGGTGAGGGAACGACAGTACAGAATGTTCCATCCTCAATGATTTCGATGCGGAAAATGTAAGGCAGAAAACATCGTTTGAAACGCTTTTGGATTCATCAAGAGCTGGCAAAATAATCCATGTGTGACGATTTGGAAAGCCATCTTTCAATACGGAAAAATCCGTCCATAATGCTGAAAGGGTTAATCATGATTATTTATGAGAAATAACTTCTGATATTATAATAAATGCTCCACTATCCGGAAAGTTCAGGAAATTAGATAGATTCCAGATATGCGAAAATTCAAATTAGTTGAGCATGTAAAAAATGGAATTAATCTTAGAGATGCCAAATCAAAAGGGAAAATGTTTACTCAAAAATTATTAAAACAATCATTTTATTTGTTATCAACTCGAACATCAAAAGCCTACATTTAAAATTATATAAGATTTCAAAAACCATGCATTTCAGACATGAAAGCTGATTTGCTGGTCTTTCATTTGACCAATTCTTGTAAATATTATACAATATTTCTTGTAAAATATCCATAATTAAAATGATTATTCATTTTGCATTCTTTATACTTATTGTGTTTCTGCGCTCACATTTCTATTCTACTGTACACTGCATTACAAAAATCGTTACTTTTGGCATGTTCTCTCTCTCTCTGCACATATATGCATGTGTGTGCACATGTGCACACACACACACACACATATGGATCAAATTTAATTGGAACAAATTTCTAACTTAATTGACAACATGCTCCAACACATACTAGAATTGGATAACATGAAGACTATTATTTAAACAGCCACTTCTGTGAAGGTCAATCCATATAAATAATAACAAAATAATCAGAAGAAAACATGCCTCAATTTGAAAAACCACAGAAATTTTAATATGATCCAATATAATATATAAACATACACTGCGTTTCAAAACTTATGTCCACTTTTGATAATAAGTACTTTTGACTGTTATCAAATTAGTGCATCTAAACCAATATTCATATGTGATTAAAAGTCCCTCCTATCTCACAATTTTTTTTTTTTTTTTTTTTTTTACATCCAGGTTTTGGACATTTAGGTCAAACATTTAGATTCTATAAAAATCAGCTGCACTTCAGACCACACCAAAAGAACATGACCAGCTGTTATTTTTGCAGTTCTTAATCAGTCACCTTACTGTATTACGTTTGGATTTTTATAGATATAGAAAAGTGTTTAGGAGATGGAAAAGATGGAATCCAAGTGGTGCATGATGCAACATGCAGAACTATACAAATTCTACAGACAATTCCTAGATGTCAAGAATAGTTTTTAAATTATCTGAATAGTTCCATCTCAAATGCAAGGAAAGAAAGAGCTTCAGGAGCTTTGAACAAGCGAGAAGTTGTCGAGTCACTCTTTTTTGGTAACATATAATAAGTCATGAGAATAGAATAGATTAAACTAAGCGAGTTATCATTATGTCTAGTTAATCCAACAGAAACATAAGAAGACTGTAAAAGAACCGTTTATTGAGAACTCCAATAACTGAACAGAAGGCACTCCTGGTGCTTACAAAACCAGCCACCACTAATGGTGTAAAGTCAAAAGCAGGGAATTCAATTTTAAATTAAATTTAAATCTTAAATTAACCAAGGCTAGGCAGAAATAATTAATGTGCATGTTGGCGCAAACCAGCATGAAAAGCTCTATGAGGCAGAATATACTCTGTCTAAACAATCTAAAACCTTTCTTCAAATACTATCTCTTTCTACCTCCTTTAAATACACATGAGCTAAAATTTGCATCTGTCAGGAAACAGAAGGGAAAGATGAAAGTATAGATTCTGAATATAAAATAACTGGTTAATTTAAATAAATACCTTTTGAAGTCCATACTGATCTAAAGGCATTTGATTTCATGATATCTGTAAATCAAATTAAGAAGAAAAAAAATGTTTCAAAATGGACTACTCTGAGAACCATTTAAGAAACATTAAACCTTCAAAAAGACTAAGTGAAGATGTCCTCAGATTTGAAAGAGAAAAGTGTACTTCACCATCGAGCATTTGTTTATAATAACATAGATTCTATGCACAATTTGGATGACTTTGATTCTTAAATATAAGAGTATGCAAAATGGATTTTATATCTACAAATTAGATAAATAGTGACTTTAATTACTGAATAATCTGAATTTAAATCATCTTATATAAGTATAAAAAAAAGTAGTTCAATTTTTATTATCCAGGAGGTTTTAATAATTACTAAAGGGATTTATGAAAAAATATGCTGTAACAATAAAGAATCATTTTGCACATTGTGAAACAATGAATTCTGATTGCTTATCAGTACTAGAATGCTGTCACATGCAGGCAAAAAAACTGTTAAGCAGTGGTTCAAAAATACCGGATCAATAGACACCAGAAGATGAGAGTAACACACTAATTCATCTGGCTACCATCCCATAGGAATAGAGCAGTATTTGTGCAACACATAAACACCAGAAATAAGCAGTAAGAGCTCATAAAGGAGATGGAGATTTCAATTTTGTGATGTGGCTGAATCTCAAATAAACCTGCAATAAACTAAATAAAATGCCACCATAGGCTATTGCTACAGTACAAAGTTCAAAATCCGGACGTCCATTAACCGGAATGATCTAAAATCTGGACTTCAAAGTCACAAATTTTTTTTTTTTTTTTTTTGGTACGCTTTACGCATGCACATTTGATTTTTCCTTCCATAATAAAACATGTGGAGATTTTCACTTAATTTTGATTCTTAATTTCACTTAGGCACTGAATAAAATATACTGTTATGAAAAAACAATCATGTAAGCATAAATTTGTGAGATTAATAATTTGGCTCCGCAACTGAGTGTCTGCTTGGCATCACATCTCAAACCGAAACATTCCCCTATTTTATATCCCTCACGCTGACCTGGCGAGTCATTATTTATTATATTTTGCATTCAACACTGCATGTTTATCAATACATGACAGCTTCAGTAATAACTCATGCAGTGATGTCTAAACTTTTTTTTTATATTGAATAACAAGAGTAAGGCAACCTTTTCTGCTAACATTACACTTGGAGATGATTATAGATTTTTTAAATGTTCTAAGAAATGTTGGTGAGATAAAATTCAACAAAAATTTCTATCCGTATGCTAAAAATAGATTTTGTTAATGAAACTCATAGGCCAAAAGATTACATTTAGTGCTTTTTAATTAAGAATAACTGATATATTATTCACCATACACCCAGAAGCCACGGCAGATTTAGGGAAGACACAATTTTTTTAATTTGGGGAAGCACCGAGCAGCAAAATTAAGGGATGAGAAGTTTTTTATAATTTAGGGGAGGTGAAAGCACTGGGATCCAAAGTTTAGATGCGGCAAAAATTTAGAACTTAGGAAGGTGCTTTGTAGAAGAATTTAGAGACTGCACCAGCCCTAAATAAAGCCTTAAGTATATGTGGGAGTTTATTTATTCAGGACTCGGATAAGTTTTAAGCATGTGCAAGAAATAAACGTAGATATAGTAAATAACTAATATGATTCAGGCTTAATTCAGTACGCAATAGGAGCAAGACAAAATATAGCAGAACAACTTGGCTTTCGTCGCCAATCTTGTGATACACAGCCAATAATGTATAACGGATACTATTAAGCTAGACTAAACTTATCTTAACTGATTTTAAGGCATTTCAGTTAATGTAGCAAACTGTGCTGCTCCTTAATCTTCTAATTTGATCCATCTTATTATTTTTTGCAGACTGTTATAAAAATTAAGCTTGAACTTTTGATTAAATCGAAAAGACTTTCCAGTTCTGAAGCTGCCAAAGGATCTATAAAGCGAAATCATCTTTCAATGTCCATTAAACAAAAAGTGGAATTGCTGCAAAAAATGGATAAAGGTATATCTGTCTCAAAATTATGCGAGGAGTATGGCACTGGAAAGTCAACTGTATATGACATAAGAAAAAGGAACTTTTAGAATTTTTTTGGAATCAACTTAAACAACTTACATTGAAAGAAATGTTTAATAAAGCAAACATATAAATATTAAGCTTTTTTTTTTTTTTTTTTTTTTTTGTACATTTTGATATCAGATTTAAATTGATGATCTATTATCCGGAAAAATCCCAAATCCGGAATCACCAAAGTCCCCACGAGTCCAGATTTCGGACTTTGTACTGTATAAAGATGCATTTGAAGATTAAACAAATACTGAAATTAATAAACATGCTATTTTCAATTTGGTAATGTCTGAATATAGAAGCTCACAATAATTCTCACCTGCTATTACTTTCATATTTAAGTCAACAAAGACTTTTAGGGCAGCAAAATAGGAAGGATCTTCAACAAAGACTAGGCTGCCAGCTCTAAATAACCTACTTAAAACTAACCACAAACCACTAGAAGCACCTCCAGTTAGAAACAGCTGCTCACTATAAAGAAAAATTTTAAACAATTTATATTGTACTCTAAGTAAAGTAACAATAAAACATTTTTTTCAGTTACACAAATATAAATATATGAAAACATTAGAAATTAAATATTGAATATAATAATACCAGCTACAGTAAAAACATCTTTGACATTCTACACGACTATCTTTTAAACAATGATAAAAATCTAACCTCCCCCCCCAAAAAAAAGGGAAAAAAATGATACAACACCAAGCATTAAACAAAATCTAATCACAATAACTAATATACATAAGAAATGTTCCAGAAAAATGTTTAAATATCAGATAACAAAATAGCCATACATCATAAATGCATGCATGCATTTTGAAAAGAGTTTCAAATACTTTCATGATGAATTGCAGCATTTTGCAGAACACCTATCATACATTTTTCAACAATTTTGCAAATACTAGTTCTATAAATTTTAGTATCCTAAGGCAGTGGTCTCAAACTCAAACTGCATGCAAGTCACATGCAAGATTTGAAAACAGCTAACAGGACAGATTTGTTTTAAAGAAACATTTTTATTAACAAAATAAAAAAAAAATATTTTAATTACATAAACAATAATATCACAAAGGGAAAAAATTCTAACTCATTTGAATTTCTACCTGAAATCCAAAGTTTGTTATGTGCAAGACGTTTTTGTTGGTTACATACTGTAATTCAAAATACTGAGAGCTAAATATTAAAATTTTAGACTGGCGTTTATTTCAAAATATATATAAACATTTTCATTTATTTCTAACATGCTTCATTAATGAGTTAATAAGTTATTTTAATTTAAACTATACAAATTATGAACATTTTCTAAGCTTTCTGATAAAATTTTACAAGTGGTACAAACTTGACAATTGGTTTCTGAGTAGTTATAAATATGCACTGAAAATTTAAACAGCATAATAATGAAAAAAAAAAAAAAAAATCTTAGCATACACAGAATGTAAGAAAGCAATGTGTAATTTAGTTGGTATTAATGATAGCTTAATTACATGACAGAAAAATTTTCATGAATACTGGAAGACAACAAATATCAGTGAATTGAATTTTAGTATGCTAAAAAGAAACAGTCATAAGCTTTTAAAAAAGGGGGTACTTTTTAGTTAATAGAGCAGTATTTGACATCAAGCATAAATGGCAACATGAAAACTAACTAATGATAGGAGTGGCAACCCTAATGATTACTACAGCTTCATCAAAGGAACAGCTAATATGTTAATCTTTTGGGTATATCTGATGACTTAGACATGTCATGCACTTGTTTTGCCTAAGTTAGAGCAAGTTTCTTCCAGTACTTCAGTGAATGTTGTTTGTAAAAAGTCAACAGAAGAATTTTTTCAAATAAATCCATACCCTAAGAGTTAAATCCAAAATAACTTTTATTTATTTATTTATTTAAAGGACAAACACAGAACTTGCAAACAAGATAACATGATTACTCCAATAAACAGTTATAACAGTGATTCAATCCTAATTTCAGTAGACAGAATTCTACCAGCAACAACTCCATTGGAAGTAAATAAACCATAAAGTGGCCATCAGAAAAGGAATATGCTGACATTCATACAAGCATTTGCTCTGCAATCCTTTCTTTCTACAACACAGTCTTTCAATGTTATTTTGGGGCTCTAGTAGCAGTAAAAGTTGATTTCATTTTATAGTTTTCATAACAAAATCAATCTGTATAGACATCACCTTTTCCTTGGAAAAAATTAATAGCATTTTATCATTTTGCAACTGTTAAGTTATGATAATCAAAACTAATTCTTTCTTTTGAAAAAGAAACGAAAAAAGAAACACATCAGCACTTCAATCAAAGAAAAGAAATTACTGAATGATGTTCCTGTTTGCTGAGATTTACAAAAATTTAAATTTTAAACAAAATTAGAAAAGTGATGCATCTTTGGAGAAATATTTTATGTGAAAAATAAGCTGTTCACAAAATTAAAGGATTAACATAGGTATTTGTATAAACATTTACACACATACATGGAAAAAATAGATAAATTAAGTTATTAATAATGCATTCAATTTTTATACTACCAAATTCTGCTTTTGTAACATTTAAAATACTTTAATCTGAAACAACACCATTTATTTCTAATTTTGAAGATATTATACCTATTTACAGGATCCCCATATTCTTCTGATAAAAATTTGGCTAAAAAACTTCTAAACTGCCAATTGCCTCTCTCATCTCCATATTGAAACAATTGAGCATCTCCTTCCAATTCGTTTTGCTGTAAATAAGTAATTAATATATGTAGAGAAAAAGTCAAACAGTAATTCAATTAAAAAGTTACAATATTTCATTATAAAAGTAATAAAAATTATTTTTCAATTAAATTATTCTTTTCCATTTCAAACAATTGTATACGAACAAATATTATAAAGCTAGATTTATAGCTCCAATTACAAAAAGGTTAGATTTTGCATCTTTCAATATACAGAATAAAAAATAAACTATATATATATATATATATTAATACAAATCAAGATATTTGCCATTAAAGACTGATTTTTTTGTTTTTTTTTTTTTTTTTTGTTTTTTTTAATTACAGCTGCCACACAATTTACAAAGATATGCAAATTTATAAACTTACTTTTTATATTTAATTTTTTAGATATATGGTTTAACAGATCTCAAAAAAATTTTCATTCTTAAGAGAAAAAAGCTGCTGATTATTTAAGAATAATAATTTACTGCTTTCATAAATGTAACAGTAAAATTTCTGAAGAAAATTTCACTACGAGTTAAACTGTTAAACAACAAGAATTAAAGTCAAAACAGTTAACAGTGAGAGTTCTATCTTAAGGTTTTACAGGAATACTCCAAGATTCTAAAATTATGCTTAGCAGCAATGATAAATAAGTTTTTAATTTCTAAGATATGGGACTTGCAGTTCAATAGCATACTATATAATACACAGACAGTGATGACTTATATCTTAAAGTTAATTCTCAACTCATATGGAGGTCCCTCCGAAATTTTTTAGATATGCGCAGACAATAAGTAGCAGAAAAAATTTAAGAGTTAGATTTGAAAATATGAACTATTTTAGCTTAGCAGACGATTTTTTATTAACCAACTGCAAGTAGTTTAGTGTAGAATAAATTTTAGGCAGAAGAAAAAATGCAGGTGATGGGAGATCATTCTATGATTTTAAAGTGGGATTTAATCCAGAGGAGTACATGAATACGTTCAATGTCTACAGTTAGCATTTGAAAATGAAGGTCCATCTTGTGCTACTACATTCAGATGGTTTAGAGAATTACAGGTGTAACTCTCTTCAGGATGAAGAACACACAAGAAGACTACTGTTAGCAGTAATCCTGGATAATGCATCTGCCGTATGGAAAATATTAATCGATGATTACCGCTGCACCTACCAAATGAAGGAACAGATACTGAATAGACCAATAGAAAGAGTTTGATATTGGATCCACCACCACACATAAAATTATTAATGAAGAATTGCATATAAAAAAGTAGTTTGCCGTTGGGTTCTCCATAATTTAAATGAGCACTGAAAAGAGAAGCGTGTCAGAATCAGTAAAGAGACACTTAAATTACTTAAGGATGGCGGCTACTGTCTTATTTCTAAAATCACAGCTGGTGATGAAACATACATAAAATGTTTTGATGTTCAAACACATCAAGAAAATAAAGTATTAGTCTTTGATGATGATCCAACACCCACAATAATGGTGCCATGAAAACGTGCAATAGTGGTGCCATAATAATGTGCCATGAAAAAAAGTAGTGTATGCCATTTTTCTTCAGAAGTATAGGCTTGGTCAAAGCCATCGACCTGGAAGGGCAGACGACAGTCACAGCTAACTAGTACACCACAAAGTGAATGACACTACAAAGTCAAGAAGTGAATATTAGATGACTCATGCTCCACCATGACAATGCATCTTCTCATTCAGCAAGATTGACAATAGAGTTTCTTGAACAAAAACACATCAGAGTGATAGAACACCCCTTCTGTTTACCCGATCTAGCTACATGTGACTTCCGGCTATTTTTTAATCTGAAAAAGAACTTACATGGACATGGTTTTCATTCCGAAAATGAGATTGATGAGGCTACAAATGCATTTTTTTCCCTTTGATTCCAAGAAATGAATGGCTTAAGGCATTTAATCTTTGGAAAAGCCACCTACAGATGTGCACTAATGCTGGATGAGACAATTTTGAGCATTCCTAAAATTTTATAACTTTGAAAACCTATGTGTATCTCAAAATTTTCAGAGTGATCCTCGTACAGAGAGAGATGCTCCCCACTTTACAAACTTTTACAAATGTGAACAAGCAAATTTGTTTGAAGTCGAAAAGAATAAAATCGAATGACTGCACATGAACTTATACAGTGCTACTGTCTGTGGATGGACTTTCACGGGGCGAGCTAGACATTGACTCTTCCTCACCCCAATAGACATCTACTAGCCTCCTCTTCAGGCCATCCCACATACCTCAAAGATGACAACCCAAGGGATGTATAGTATAGTAAAATAATTCTTTACTTTTGTATTTATAAGGTACAGTTAAAGATCAGGAAATGCAGGATTAAGGATACATAAAAATTCTAGACAGCTGAGTGGATGAAAATAGGAATTCACATTTAATAAGTGAAAAGTATAAGTTTAAATGAACACATTTAAAATTTTCAAAATTAGTGGGAAAATTTTCTGCTCCAAAATTATAAAAACAATCATCTTATTTTTTATCAACTTGAATATCAAAAGCCAACACTTAAAATTAAGAGTTTGAAAAAAAAAAAAAAAAAAAAAAAAAGACACATTTCAGTCATGTAAAAGCCAACATATTTTGTAGGCTTAGTTCAATTATGAAATTCCACTGAAAATAAAAGTAGTTGGAGACAGCACATCAGCAGAGCTGAACTAACCATTATGCAAAATAAGCAGGTGCTTAGAGCATTAAGGAAAGTAAGCACCAAAATGAAAAGAAAAAAAAAAAAAAAAAAAAAAAAGGTCATTAGGAATTCAAGGAAAGGTGGCACCACAAAAATTTCTATTGCTGGTTTTACCAAGGAATGGTGCAGCAAAACTAAGGCCAAGAAAGAAAAAATAAATGGGGGGGGGGACAGGTATGTGGAGCACAAAAATCTTTTGTGCTTAGGCCCTTTTAAGTGCTTAATCCAAGCCAGATTAAGACATACAAAGACTCTCAGCACTTAAGATTCTTGTGCCCTAATATACACTAATGCCAGTTTCCTTCTCTGTTCCTTTTTCCTCGGATTTAGTTTAGCTGCACCATACATTCCAAGATAAAACTGGCAATGAGACTTTTTTGTGGAGATCGAAAGATTTCTGTTATTCTAAAGAGCTGTAAGTATTTAGAATGTATAGAAGATGCTCGTTTTATTTCTTTAATAATATAAGTACTGAGAATAAATATGAAATGATGCAAGGCTAGGGCCGCTGCAAGAGCCAGTAAGGTAGAATTTTCAGAAATTAGTGAAACAATGAGCAACAAAATTTAGGGCTGGCAAAATTGTTAAAATTTAGGACCCACAGAAATTGTGAATGCCCTGTGTGATGCAGTGAGACATATAAGTTAAATCTTCTAACTTGTCAGTTTTCAATTTTTTTATTACAGAAAAATTTCTTTCTACACATCCTGTCCATGTGACAAGATTAGAATTATTCTTGCAATCTTCCATATTTGTGTCTAGTGAAAAGATGAGAAAATAAAGGGATGATAAACATGTTAAGAGGCAGATTTCTAGGATCAATAGCAGAAAATTCAAATAACTTTGTTTTCACTATTCTTCCAAAAGTTTTCCATAAAATAAGAGCTTCATCACAAATTTTCTATAATACTCATCCATTATGTGTTAACACCATGAAAACACCTTTTATTTGGTCATATTTTTCTGGAATCTTTGGGTAGTATCATAGCTCTATAAATCCAGAATTGCAGGTCTATAAATCTTGCTTTCAAATCCTTCTAAACCTTCGGACGTGCAAGGTCTAAAAATATCACTCGCAACTCTGTAAGAGTGAAAAGCCAGAAGACTTTTGAATAAAAAATTCAGAAAAGAAAAGTATGAAGTGAATTTTTAAGAAAAAAACTGATGTACATTTGAACGTTTCAAAAATGACTACATTTTTAACAGGGTAACACTGCATAGGTTACTTCATCTATGCTCCATGGTGATTACTGCAAACTTCGCTGAACAGAACATCTTTATAATCCATTCTATTGAATTCTGGGCAAAAACTATTGGGAGTTTCTTTTATCTTCTTTTTGATTTGATTTTCTGGATTGTCATTCCTTTCGTTTTCATCTGAAGTAAGATGTTTGAATCTGTTTTCCCTGAACGATACCATTCGGGTATCATCATTACCCTTTGGTTTATAAGCTCTTTTAAGGGTGAATCATTATTGTTATTTTGCTCCGGAATTTTAGGTGAATACTAAAATTTAGTAGAATTTAATAATTCACATATGATTTTAAGGCCAGCATATGGTGATACTATACTAAAATTGGCTAAAACTTTCATCATTTGAACTTTCTTGAGAAGTTAAGTTGGGAGTCTTTGGCTCAAATACCGTTGCATTTATTATGGCTGTCACAGAAGACGTTGATTGATGGATTTGAGTTTTAATCTTCTGAGATTTAGTTAGTTACAATTTTAGATTGACTACATTCTGTCTTTAGAAATTTACTGAATCATAACTGTGGAAAAGACTTAGTAGAATAGTTCTCATCAGATTCATCATCCATAAATTCAGCCACAGGTATATGCCAAAAGATTTTTACCTTGATATCCAGTGTTTTTTCCCCCCTTCTTTCTTTTGGTGGTGTTGTTGGTTATAATAAGCAATAAAATAGATATTGAGAATAATGAGAGAGCAGTCAGAATACATGCATCACACAGTAATACCAAACCTCAAATGTGATTTGTGGTATTCCTTTTCCTGAGTCCTATAGTATGCTTTAGTGATACATCTTTTCATTGATACTCTAAACATGTGCTTATATTACTTGATGGTTAATCCAATACCGGATATGTTCCAATCATTCTAGTAGAAGTTTAAATGAACATATAGTTCTTTATTTAGCTAATAATAAACAGATACAAATTATGGATAAAAGGCATACAAAATTTAATTACTAATAATAATTTTTCACATTACATCCTCAATGTTCACATGCTTTCAAAATCACATATCGTGGGTTTTCTGTTGCCCAGATCCTGCAACTTTGA